TTTTTTTTTTTTTTTTTTTTTTTAGTTAAAGCGGTGACGTTAACTTGGAACACCACGAAACGCGCTGAACGCATCGGGTTGCACGCGGATACGCGTTACCAAAGATAATAGGGAAATCCAGAAAGCGCAATAGCGATGGTCCATCGGATCGATACTAAACACACAAATGTAAGATTTTACGTCCTTTTGAGAAATCCAAGCTAGTCGTGTACAACTATAGTCGTAAGTGCTATATTCTCAACAAATAAAGTGTAAAACTAAAAAAAAAAAAAAAAAAAAATGACGTAGCGGAAGACATTTTAGCGAAACGTGTCGATAAATGGTAAGCTTTACGAGAAATCTAAAAGAGAAAGAAAAACCGATCGACGATGGACTTCGTAAATCGCTATAGTAGTTGTCTAGATCTTGCGTGTATCTCTAAAGAAATTTACGAAACTTCCCCCTTGGTCGCGATCCCTTTCTTTTCTTTTTTTCTTTCCGTTTCTAATTCAGTATTTCATTATTACGTCACCGATTTGACCGCGTTCGCGAATGAACGAAGGCGTGGGGAGTGAGCAAATCAAACGAACAATTATTACTGTAACTATACTACTAGCATCGTTGTAAATTAACAAATAAAAAGAAAAATAACAATAATAATAAAGAACTGAAAGAGAAAAGGTAGAGAGAGAGAGAGAGAGAGAGAGAGAGAACAGAAGAGGCGCGAATGTGAAGGTGTGTCTGCGATATCGAGATTCTATTCTTGAGTGGCACGGCCACATGCGGAGCGACATCGATGACTCGGTCAAGAAAGCCACGATTTTTCTTCCTCTGTGTGTCGAACAATCGTGTTAACAAACGAAGCGACGCTGGCCGCTAGTGCCACTGCTGAAATTGTACTCGAGTCGGTGGTATGGCATTTCGAAGCATTGTGTCGATCGTAGAATCGATTAAAAAAAAAAAAATAAATTGATATCCTGTAAAGTACTGTACGAAAAAAATCATCTTTGTTAGTTTTTTGTTATCCCTTGAAAATGAAAGGTGAAGATCCATCTTGCAAGAATTTTCACGTAAATTGATGTTTCATTTAGATGGAAGAACGTTAATCTGTTGATATCGAGATAAGCGAATTAATTTATCTGTTGGTTTGTCAAGATCTTTTTCTCTGCTTTTAAGAAGCAAATTATATAGGATATATCACATAACGGTGAAAGATAAAATTCATCCAATTAAAATTGATTTTAAATTCAGTTAGCAAGGATTATTTCATACTTTATTTTGTAATTAATTCTTCAAATTGAATTTAGTAATTAATTCTTTAGGTTTAATTGAATGGAACAAGTGAATAAGTAAGTTGGAGCGTGGTTTTTAATAGAAAAGAAACAATACGAATACACTGACGTAGAAAATAGCCGAGTTCGATGTTACAAAAGTTCGACTAATATCCAGTGAGTTCGGCGAACGTAGAGTCCATGTCGTCGCAGATGTATTTGTACTTCTCCTTTTCTCTGAATAGAAAGTCTGAGAAACAAAAACACGGCCGTAAATATGGAAAATGGAGATGATGTGCTGGAAAGCGTACAAAAAGGAATGGTAAAATGTACCTTCTCTCGCGTCCAGCTCTTTCGAGAACACTTTGACCATCTTCTCAGCGATGACGGCTCTTTTTTCAGCAGCTTTCAACTTTACCTTCAAGTCTTTCAGTTGCGTTTTAAATTCCTCCACCCTTTGATTAGCCTACAAAAATTTCCAAAACTGTCACGTGTATATTTTTCTGAATTTTCGACTTTCATAAAGCATTTGTTTATCAAATACTTTGCCGTTTAATTGTAACAAATATTTAAAAAAAAAATTACCTTCTCTTCGGACACTTCTAAAGACTTCAATATGTTGCCAACAATGAATAATTCGTCCTCCCGTTCCATGATCTTTCTGTGAATCATTACACGAAATCACTTGTAACATACGAAACTAAAATTTACAAGAGATTGTGATTCGTACTACGTACGCCTCGCTCGATTTCACTCTTTCCTCAGCCGCTTCTAATTCGTCCTCGACGAAAGCCAATTTCCTCGAGATCTCGTCCGATTTCGTATCAGCATCCTCAGCGATCAGCCTCGCCTCTTTCAGCTGCACCATCAACTGATCCATCCTCTCCTCGTCCTGCTTGCTTCTGGTCTCCAAAACCTTGCAGATACTGAAAGCAACAGTTTACTACGAACAAAATCTCGAACGTCAATCGAGTTCTTCTCGCCTTGTTTCACAAACCGTTTCGCATCTTCCGCCGTCTCCATCGCCTGTGCCAGCTTGGTTTGCGCCGTCAAACGACGCTCCTCCGATTTCTCCAAATTCTGCAGGCATTGCTGCATCTTTCTGTTCAGAACCGCCAGCTCCGACTGCGTCTGTTGCCATTCGTGAAAATCGTTTTCACGTTATCGTTTCAATTATTATTCTCCTATCTCGCAGGAATGGGAATTACATTTCAATAATTTCGAAATTATTACTTATTTTCTCGTATCTCGCAAAAGTCGTCACTGCCAAGAATTTTGATTGCTAGTCGAGATTGCTTCGGAGACTTTTTGAAATTCGTAAGTAAAAACTTTGCAAAACAATGTAACAACTTCTAACATCTTATATTATGACAAAAAGAGAATGCTGTATTTCTGTAAAACACCAACCACGATATAGACTCTCTCCTTCTGCTCGAGGTCTCTATTCGACTTTTCCAACTGAGCTTTGCTCAGTTCCAAGTCGCGTTCCATTTGCACCAGCTTCTTTGCCAGTTCCCGCACCTCGTCCTTTAGCTTTTCTTCTCGTCGATTCGCTTCCTTCGCCTGCTGGTCGCACAGATCGGCCCTGTCCATCGCCAGATCCTTCTCGATCTTCAGCGTTTGCAAACGTTTTTTAATCGCGTTCATCACAACGATTTCGACGGTGAACCTACGTAGAAAATTCGACCAATAAATCTTCTATCAACGAATTCCATTTTAATAAATTATTTTACGCAAGCGCGATATTCTACAACGAATTGTTTTAATCTAATTGAAAGACTTTAAAAAAGTGAAATCTACTTCCATGGATTTTTGAAATATCTTGAAACCGTGTTCTCTCTTCTTTGATAA